TAACATTAGAGCTACAAGCTTTCTGGGGAGATTGAACCCACCAAAACTAGCCATGCCCTCTGACACGGGACTGTACCACTGTGAGGAGACATCCAGCCTCCTGTGGCAAAGACCTCTTCTTAAAGACAGAAATGCAAGACAGGTTTTTAGGGGCACTATGATGGGGATACAGAAAGGGTTACCTCCCACCTGTGATAATCTGGGACACTTTGGGGGTTATGTGTTAAGGGCAAGCATACCCTGAGTTATTCACCTTAAGATGGGACCATGATATTCCTCTGCTGTTGTTCCTAATGCAGTTACAGAGAGGTCCCTTCCCTTTAGCATGCGGTTCAGGGTAGGTCTGGCTGCAAACTGGATGGGACCATGAAGACTTTAGGAGAGGACCATGGATGGAGTTGTGACTCCCCAGCTGATCTCACAAGATCCCACCTGTGGCAGAAATCACAGAGGGGCTATGCAGGTTTAATTTATCAAAGCTTGAGGATACCCTAAAACCACATTGCTGATTTGTCCGTGGTCCTTACAGGGTTTCTCTTCTGTGGTGGCCTCCAATGTCACCCTTCACACAATCGTGTCTGAGTGCTGGGGAGGAGTGACACATCCCTTTTCCTACTGCTGCTTCCACTTACCGAGGATGGGACAAAGCAGTCCTGTCACCAATGCTGTCGCACTGATGATGATTGCCACTGGCACGTGTTTCCTTGTGTTTGGTTTCCCATACTCTGGGACATCCCTGTTGCTTGGCAAGTGGCATGTGGGTATAATCAGTCTCAGGCAATTTATTTTTACTACCCTGTGTAAACACAGTGCTGAAATTGTCACTGTGATTTAGGAGGTGCCAGATTTTTCTGTTAATTATTTTTTCCCCCGTTTTTTTCTTTTCCTTCTTGACACCTTCCAGTCCATCTCTGGAATGACACTTCATGGGCAGCTTTCACTAAAGATTTCCCCAGTGATGGGACATGATGTTGAAGTCTGATCTCTATCTCTCCAGGCTTCCCTTGATACCTGGAAGCTGTAAGAGGCAGAGGACAAAAATTACCCTTCTCTTTCGCCCAGCAACCATTTTGTGTGCTGAAAATAGAAGCATCATCTTAAATGAGCCACTCAGAGAGACATAATCACCCAAATACAGACGAAATCACTTAAAGATTTTGAAACCGGCAACCTCATATATTTTAATTATAGACTGCAGTGATATTCTGCTGAAAGCAATTATGTTGTAGCTCTTCCCACACACACAGGCAGTCCCAGTTGTGCTCCACAAAGACAAGCAGTTAAGCATGTAAGACATCATGTACGTTTTCGGGGCTTTTTAATCCATTTTTGAACAGTGCTTTGAAATAAAGCACGAGATTCTCTCTTCTGGACACAGCCTTGTTGCATACACACAGGGTACCTTTAGGTAGGCAAATGTAGGAGCGCTGATTGCAGCAGCAGAAACGTGTATCTGCTGCAAGAACAACTTCTCCCCCCACTTTTTGAATGGCCTCTTGTTTTTGCTATGGAAATGGCCGTCCCTGCTTCGTCAGTACTTTTTAAACTTGCCATGGCCAGAAAAGATGCTTCTGTTTAAAATCAGAGAAACGATCCACTAAAAAGCTCCAAATGAAAGATATCTATTTCACCAGGTTGGACTGGCCAACAAGCGTGGCTTGCTGAAATGTGGTTGAGACACTCAGATACAGTTCATGCTACTGATACCCCTTGCTCTCCCCTTCAAAATTAGCCAGATGAATGGGGCCTTTTGTAGTGAGGAAAGAAATGGGCAGAAATCACAATAATCCCTTTCTAGCCAGTCTTCGGTAGCATGGCGTGAGTCAACATCTCTGCCTGGTGCTGGAGAAGACGGAAAACAGCAATTTCTCAGCGGTTTCCTTGGCATGTTGGAAACTGAAGGCGATCTTCTCGCACGCAGATCATTGCACCTCAGGCTGGTCGCTCCCATTGACTCTGTTCCAGCCATTCAAGCACCGTGGGGCTGCGGACTGTGAATCACATCCTTCAAAGACCAGCACCATGGCCAAGCGTATTTGTCCCGGCCCAGTGCCTTGGTACCCCTCAGGTGATGGGATGTGGCAAAGCATCTTCTGGCTTTGGAGAATGGTGGCTTTTGACTTTTCTGTGCACACTTCACAGACCAAAGCCTTTGCTCTCGATGAGAAGTTATACTGCTTTCCTGTTATTCTAAAACTAAGTACTTTGCACATTTGGCAAGTATTATTAAGTAATAGTCTGAGTGATGGTCTGTGGTTGGAGTTAATTTCTTCCAGTTCTCAAAGTGTCTAATTACACCTTCTTCAATGCTAACTGTACAGATTGTTTCAAATGTGCAAAAAACCCTCTTGTTTAAGTTAAAAAAAAAAAAAGAAAGAAAGAAAAGTCTTGATTCATCCCTCTGGATTGAAGGTATGAGACTAGAGGCATAACCCAAATGTCTTCTGACTTCAGCATTGTTCATGGTTCTGTACTTCTTACCCCAAGAACACTTGAAAGGGTAAAAACCAATAGGACAGATACTATCTGGTGTAATCATCCCATTTATACAGTTCCAGTACTGACCAGCTTAAACCTAGGTCTGTCTTTAGCTTAGACCCATGTCAACTGAAGACACAGTTAGGCAAATGTAGCTAACCTCATATTAGGAACTTGTGCCCCACTTCACTAGCAATTCCCATGGTGGGAACGCCATGAACAGCTGCCTGGTCCTAGTCCAAGGCAATGCATAGTGAAATGGGGCACTGGAAAGAGCTTTGGGATGATGTGTTTCACCCCAGAGCTAGAACAGGGTACTGGGTAGATCCATACATGGGATCTATGGCATGTTGGCTGAAAAAAAAAGAGTTTGGTAATCCACTATAGTTTGGTTGCAATTACAGATCATTTGAGACTTCCTTTAATGATTGATGGGAGAGCAACACAGCTTTTGCATGGAGACATCTCTTAGAAGAAGAAGCTCTATTTGGAGACACATTTCTATCTCTTTGCTATGGCCAGTTGAGCAAAACAAACCTATCTTGCAGCTGATTTTTCTGATTACAGTGTCAAATATTTAGGTGGGTAACAGGAGAGAGACTAGAGGGGCAGAGCCACCAGTTGGATTGTGGGAATAGCCAGTGGTGCACATCACCCTTCAGTGCCCAAGAGACATGCTCTGGCAAGGTACCAACGGCTCGGTTGTGCTTACAACCTCTGCTCACCGTTACATACCAGCCTCAGTTCAGGCTGATCACAAGTTGTTTGCTGGCCCTTGACTTCAACGTTTAATATAAGGGTCTCATGGTTATCAGATCTTTTTCCCAATTGTCAGACTATGGAGGACAAAAATAACATGTAGAATGGGAAGTATGGAAAAGATGGGCATCTTTCTCATGACAATGTATGGGGCTTTGGGTGGTTTCGTGCAATAGCCTGGGTTGAGGCTGCTCAGCTCATTCAGTCACTGTGATCACTGACTTCTCCAAGGAATGGACATGTCCGATTGGAATGGTGGCCTACAGGACTAAATGTGGTATCCTTTGAGATCGAGCTAGCCCACGTTGTGATTTATTTTTCTTTCCTGGGGTTTGTGACTGAATCAGACAGGAGAGAGGAAGTGAAGGTTTGTTCTTTCTAAAGATTTATTTTGTTACATCTGCAACAAGTCAAGAAGAGAACAGGGTGGAAAGGCTTTTGGTTTTGGGCCTGGAACAAAGCTCAGTACTTGAGATAAACAAATGGGGGGAAAGGAATTATCAAAGAGCGAGCTGGCCACAGACTTTGTTATGAGCTTTACTGTAACAAGCTGAGAAACTTTGGTAACTTAAACCAAACTGAAAGAGGACCAGACTTGCAGGGTAAAAGGAAAAGCAGATGATTGAGGTACTTTGAGGAAGTGAAAGTTCGGTCTGTCTGCCTGCCTATCCATCTATCCTACATTGCTCTAAGATGTGGAGATACTTGATGTGGAAAATATCCCAAGCTTTGGTTTAGAGGACCCAGAGGATTTCTCAGGTGTGTGAGTTGCACTGCCATTGACTTTGACAATCATGGACAAGCTCTATTGACTCATCCATCTAACAAATTAGTGATAACCTAACAAGCACCAAGACACCTGAATGCAAGACAAAATGTAGGTCCTGATGCCACCCGGCATTGCATTCATGTGTGATGTGTGATTATACTCATAGCCAGAATCTACATCCACACTCAAGACTTCTTTCTGAGTTGGCTGCAAAATTTTCAAGGATAATATTCCAAATAATCTTCAACAAATGGTGCAGACCGATAACACCTGGTCCAAGTTTCCACTTTGGTAAGCAGGTGTTAGTAATTCCTAACTAGTGCTCAGGCCAGTGAAGGAGCTGAATTACCCCATGTAGGTCAGCAGAGATGGTGAAAAATAAAAGAGAGATACAGTGTTTGTTAAATGAATAGAATTTATTTTTCTGTGGGGAAAAACAGATGGGGAGAAATTATGAAACCATCATTTCCACAGTGTTAAATTAGCAACAGCAAAAAGCACTCAAAAGAATAAACTGCATGTTAAGTAAATTTAAAAGAATTACTGTAAAATAAATGCCAGCTTGCTTTTCTAGTGTTTGCAAATCCCCATTCACCAAAATCCTTTATAGCATCTCCTAAAAAGCTTAGAGGAGCGTGGCAGTGGAAGCTACCTTCCACATATCCTTAGGTCCGCGGTGTCTCTCGTAGGAATGATCCTTAGGACAGCAGTGTCTCCCGTAGGAAAGCCATGTTTTGGACTCTCCAAGGGAGAGATAACCCCTCCAAAAGGCAGCTCACCCCACCCCAGGTCTGACAACATTTACCAGTTACCTGTGCTGAGTGCTCTTTATCTCACTGATACCCTATCAGCCCTGTTCAGGCTGGTGAGATAGCAAAGTGGCACAATTAGCAGCAATTAGCCTAGGGAGAAACTGTTATGTGGTGGCTCCCAGGATGGAGCAAATCCATGTCTCTGTGCTTCTAGAGATGCTAGTGGGGTTGCACGGCCAGTGGCCTGGTAGCCAGGATGGGGTCTGTGCTGCTGGTTCCCTTGTATTGTTGTGTGTGATGGGGCTGGGTTTAGGGGCAGACCCCCCTCCCAGGCAAATTGGTGAATGGTGGGAGGGTGTTTTGGAGGCCACCCCATAGCATTGTAAAGCCACTGGGTCTTATGAAAACTAGGCAGGCTAATCTTGCACGTGATGGTCCATGACCATCAAGCACCTTGGTAGGACCTCCTGCTCCTCACTGAGATACCCGCAATGAGGAAATCTCAGTCTGGTGTGAAACTGGGAGAACTGGAAAATATGAGTTGTTCTAATACAGTGATAATGGTGTGTTTCTAAAGCAACAGAGCCCTTGAGATGACCCAGTCATATGATGACCCCTATACATCCTATAGGACAATAGGGGAAAACCTCAGTTAAGGTGAAGTTTGGGTTATTTTGTGCCCACACAGGCTTATTTGCATGGCAGCCTATCTCAGTTACCTAGGGCTGTGGAAGGTTGCCACAATTACTTGCTCCAGAAGTTGGTTTTGCCTACGCTTTCTAGGCACTCACCGCTGAGATGAGGATTGTCCTGTCTCCAACCCATAGCTCAGTCCCACAGCATGGTAGGGGATGTTCTCCCTGCTCCTGCACGCACACTGCTCATGCATGGTTAAGGGCCTTGTGCATGACATCTCTGAATTAGCAGCTGGCTGTGACAGTCATTGGTGTTGCTGGCCAGAAACCTGTAAAGCAGAAGGGAAAATTATTTTGGTGGCAGAACTACAAATACTCAATAAAGCACAGCTTGTTTTGGTGCTTTTTTATGTGGTTCTGTGCTGACTTTTTCTCCCCTAATTCACAACAGAAGTGAAGCAGAGTGTAGTAGAGATTGCACATAAATCCTTTGTGCTTGGTTAATGGGAACAATTACAGAAGTTTCTTCTTTTTCTTTTGCCAAGCTGTGATATGAAATCATTTGTCGGGTTCCTGTTTCCATGGAAACAATTAGTTTCATACCATTTTTGTATTACATATCAATGAAGTGATTAATTAAATGAAGGCAAACACTTCATAAATGTATTGTCTCACGCAATAATCAAGTAGCTACCAAGTACCGTAGCTAAATGCACTTAAAATGCAGTAAAACCAGCTCTGCAAAAGACTTAACAACTGTGTGAATATTTATTGGTCTGATACGGTACATCATTTATAAGCCAAAAATACCAAATGTGGGTGTTTAGGCGTTGCAGTGCTTACTGGCTTTGGAGTAAAGCATCATTTTCTCAAAGGATCTGGTCACCTTGAGCCATCTCCAGGAAAGGGCTTAGGGACCTGTTGTGTGATGCAGATGGGCTTCAGCCACCAATGATGCCAAGACCTGCCCATCAGCCATCGGTCCATCTTGCAGGCAAAGGCAAGCCAAAGGTGAATGACTTGCAGGACCTCCTAGCCCTGTGGTTAGTGTGCTCACAGGGATGTGATGGGTCCCCGGCCCTTCTCCAAGGTCTCTCTACATATTTTCTCCTTAAAACAAAATATACAAAGAGTCCACCCAGAATGGAGTGGAATTCAGGGCTCTGACTGTTCCCTCCCAAGCACATCTGGGAGCCTTTCCCTTGCAGAGCTGAGCAGCTGCATGGCAAGGGAGGGAGGAAGGGAGGGAAAGAGGGAGAAAAGGAAGGAGATTCCTATGCTCTGCCACAGAGGAGAGCAAGGGCTGAAATGGGAACTGAATTCAGGGACACTTCGATGGGTAGCTCAGCCCCGAGTGTCTTCAGCAGGATGGGAATGGGATCACAGAGAAGCATAGCCTCGTTGGATGATGGGCAGCGCTGACTTCCCTCAATTCAGGTTTAGCAAAGTGGTTCTGAAAATGAGACACTTGCTTAAAAGGTTCAGTAGGAATTGGAGGAACTTATTTTAATGAGTAGTTAGGGAAAAAATCACCGTGCAACTCTCTGTATTGGACCCTGAATCCTTATTTCACTGGGCAACAGAGTCTTTGTTGAGGCCAGCCCTTAGGGAATTGTGTTTTCCCCTTCATTCAAGAAGAATTTATACACCAGTGGTCATGCAAATATAATTACCTGATTTCAGTTTAGCAACTTAAAACAATCAGAATTTTACTTGGAAAATTCATTTTTCCCCCTTTCCTTCTCTTTAATAAAACATGTCCTGGGAAAGTGGTTTGATGAGCATAGAAAAAGTCTTTGACGGACAATCAGTCCACATTCAGTGACCCCTTACATAGCTAGTTTTTGGATGAAGCCAGTTACTTGAGTTTTTCAGACAAATATAGCAGAAATTTCACAGAGAAACTTGACATGAAATCATTTTTTAACCTGATCCCAAAGGGCAAAGTCTCCATGCAGGGGGTGGGGTTGTTCATCAATGTGTACAAAATGGATCCAGCTGTCCAGTGCAATGGTATTTTCTGTAATCCTTTCTGCTGACAAGCCAGCAGGTGGTGGATCGCCAACACATGACACAACAAGAAATGTTCCATGATGGATGAAACAAATGCACAGAGCTGCATCTCCATCCATTTGAGGCTGACACCCATCTACTACCATCTGACAGAGCTGTTTCTCTCTTTCTGCTATGACTGTCATCACCCCCTCTATGGCTTTTCTGCTTATTTATACTTCCCTTTGCTTGTACCACAGTATCGCAGATGCAGCTTATGCTAGAAGCATCCTCATCACCCTACAAAGGAACTGAGGATAAGATGATGCTTAGAAGGGCCGTCTGCCTTACCTGATACTTCCTTGGTCCACCTGGACCAAGTTGCATGACCAAGGACCAAGGGTACACTAAGGGCCACCCTCATCCAGATGACTTTGAAGCTGGGACTGTGTCTGTGCCTGATGCATGTTTGCATGTTAACAGCACAGATGGGTGGCCAATCTGGAGAGGGGAGCAAGCTTAAGTCTGCATTTAACAGTCAGTGTAAACATCTCCCCTGAAATCTCTTTGCAGAGCCAGCCTCAAATGTCTCTCAGCTATTCCCCACTCCCCTTTTACCACCCAACCTCCTGACCTTGCAAAAATGTGTCTCTGAAGGGTCAGAGCTTGGGTCTGGAGCAGATGCTGATGCCTGGGATCAGGGGTGGGCGGCCCAAGGGCTGGAACATTCCTGCACAGGGTCTCTGGTTGAGATAAGGCTGTGATTTACTCCAAGAAAGTGGAGTTTGAGTGAGTCCTGCATGTTCCCTGGGAGGTGAGGCAGGAAAAAAATCCTGTGGAATAAAAACCTTTCAATCTTCCAGTAATGGTTTGCTTTAGAGAAACATCTAATTCTGTGCAGCTAAAAGCACCACAGTGATCTGGATCACAAGCCATTGCTCACAACCTCCAAGACCAAACGCACTGCGAAGTACCAGGTGAGACAAAGAGCAGCAACGCTTCCAAGTAAGAAGAATCCATGTGAGATGCTTAAATTTTGGGGCTTGGGGGAGGATCAGGGCTTCAAAAACCTCTTGATCTTCCCTTACCAAGGTGGGCCTACATCAATCTAAAGCCAGCAAGTCCAAGCGCAGCTGCTTTGGGTCAGCAGGGAGGAAAGCTGTGAATGCTAAAACTGAATTGTGGACTCTATCCACAAATACCTTCTCAAAGAGTGGTTATCAGTGGCCTTTCTCTCCTAAAACTGCTCTGTCACAGAGTCTAGAGAACAGACACACAAGGAATCAGCAGCAGGTTCTCTCTTTTGCTGGAGAGGTTTGCCCCTGCGATTGCCCTTGTGCAATGTGGTTGTTTCTAGGTTCAAACAACAGGCAAAGGGAGGTTTTAGGGTTGCAGTTCTAGGTTGGAATGCTTTCTATCCCATCTTTTTTTGACATTTATTTTAATCTCAAAACTATAGTATCTACAGTATTTGAAAATTCATAATCCATCCACAAAACAACTGGCACACAATGAGGGTATGAGTTCCCAACCCAGGGGCCCAGCAGTATGGAAACATAATGATGACTGCAGGGAGAATTTCTTCACCTCCTCTTGGTGTGAGGATGGTGTGTATGTCCCCACCAGCCCATCCTGCCATTTTCTTCACCTAATCCCTCACATTCCCACTGATTCAGCCAGCCATGGGTCTGGGAAAAGCGGAGAGCCAGCCACACTGGTATGCAGATAGGGTGGTCTTCATGGAGGGACACGTGCAGTAAGATTCTTCCAGCTCCATAACACATCCCCATGGAGTGAAAATATATACCAAAGGCTCATAGCTAATCAAAACTGAAGATACTGAGGTATAAGCATGGGTGGCATAACTGTCAAGAAAGCTTTTGACTGTGCACAGTATGGCCACAAGATAAGCATCACGTGCATTTGTAGGAACTCTTGAGCTAAAACCAGTGCCACAGTTAATGCTTTGCCTATGATCTCTCTACACCTGCAGTTCTGGTCCCTGGATCACACATTCTAGATGCCACCAGCCCCATTGAAAAGCTGAAGAAACTAACCAGCCACTTTACCACATGCAACTGGTTCTTCCTTGTATCTTGCTGCACTGAAGCCAGCCAATGGCTCGAGATCCTTGCCCAGGAAATGCATTTCCAGCACTGGTGGGTAATTGTTGAGAAATACATTCAAGGAGGGAGAAGTCCAGATTAGTCTGAGTTATGACTCCACATCTAAGGTCACACTGAGAATGTGACATGAAACCCAGGACTGAATTCTTTTAATGTATAAAAAACATTCATCAAGCACAACAGATGACTTTGGAATTTGAGCACACTCTTCTATTTTTTTCCCCATATATTTTATTACGCAATTTCTTCCCCCTAGAAGAAATACCAAGTTCTTTTCTTATTTTTTTTTAAACAAACCAAAAGGGGTAGTACTAATAATCTGGTACACAGCCTGTGACAGTTTCTTTTGCTGCTTCAGCACAGGCTGACAAATGGCCTTAACCCTATCTGAGGGAGGGCATTGAAATGAAACAGGTAACAAATAGAAAACATACAGTTTATGCAACAGCATGTAACTAAGAAGTCTTCCCTTGGAAAACAATAGAGCCATTGTATTCCCCATCTGAGCAGTCGGGAAACTCCACTAGTCCAGGGCTGTAATGAATTAAAGGCTTTTCGGCAGCAGATACGATTGCTATTCGTTGCTAAGAAAAGCACGTTGTCTGGTTGTCTGCAGCATGCTAAATGCATATGTTTGTGTTCCCAGCAAAGTCAAAACTTGCAAAATAGTGGAGGGGAAGGTGATTACCAGACTTGCGTGACTCAGCCCTGCTGCTTTCTCCCATTTGGTAGGATATTGTTTCTCAATAACATGGTAGCAGGAATGCTTACAGCCAAAACGGCTGTTGCTTTGATAACAGAGCTTGACAACCTGGTTGGATGGACACAAGTGCACCGGCAGCTTCTCTGCTACCTGGACTATCAATATTCATGGTTGTTAGACTCTGTCTTTGGAGGGTTTCAAGGATCAGCTAAACAAAGCCATGACTGACACAGTCTGTGGCTGGTGATGGACTTGATTGGAGCAAATGGTTGGGCTGGAGCCCTCTGAGGTCTCTCAATCACGTAGATACCTGTTAAAGCAGTGGCACCAGGACAGTAGTTTGCAGGGTGGGTTATCAAGGCAACAGAGCTGGCTTTGAGCAACGTATTAACTCTTCCTTTGACTGTATTTCCAGCAGTAGTCTGTCAGTCTGATCTATATTGGATGCATGCTACTCATTTGGTTGGAAGGGCAGAAGTGGCTCCCTGGCAGTAGGTATGGAGCATTGGCAATGGGGTCTGCAGTGGAAAGCTATAGCTATCTGACACCAGAAATGGTTAAGACTGATCTGTTAGCACTTCTGATATGCCTGTAGCAGCAATTAGGGCTTAATGCAAGGCAGAATAGATCAAATCCCGACGGTGGAAATTAGGAAATGAAATGCCAAGAACAATAACTAGAACAATGTCATGAATTTCCTCCACCACAGCACGGGGGGGAGTGTGACAACGAATATTTTGATGGGCCTGAATAGTTCAGAAAGTTAGTTTCACTTAGGAAATTCCAACTATACATGCTTGATGCTTGTGTTTTGTTTTTAAATGTCAGCAATGGTTTGAATTTCTATCAGGGGCATGAATTACTGGAGTAGATCCTGGGCTCCCGTCTTGCTGCTCCATAGGCTCCAAACCAGTAAGCAGCTTCACAGAGCTGGGAAAAGGCTTTCTTCTGAATCTCCTTTCCCAGAGCACACACATACCATGTGTCATGTTGAAACTGGATGCACCTGCTAAAGGAGCTGTGTGGGGGCAGACATTATACACCAGTTATAAATCCTTAGGCTATCAACAGCCTTCAGTAAACATTTGGACAATCCTTCCTACCTCTTGGTCATCCAAATATTTGCATCACACGGGGCTGCTAGCCGTTTCCTGACATGCTGAGTCTCTAAGAATATCCTTGGATTGTAGGTCGGTTCCAGCGCAATGTGATGGATGGTCTTATTGGGTGAAATAAATGGCTTGGGAGAAAGGAAATAAAGAAAATCTATCTGTCTCCTGATAATAAATCCAGGTCAGGATGGAGTGAAACAGCTTGCAGTCATGAATGGTGTTTTTAGAGAGCTTTTAGGATCTGATCCGAAGCACCTAAGGGTTAATGATGAACATCCCTGAACTCAATTAGTGGATATACTTCCCTTGGTGATTCTGGCCGCTTTGGACCAGGCGCTAGGAGAAATGGTTGAAGATGCTCCTGAAAGCTCTTCCTTCCTGCTGTGCTGAGCACAGGGTTGGAAACAGCCTGAGCCAACTTTGGATGTAAAATAGGAGCCTGCTGCACTGAAGCTGGGTTTGGCAGCTCTTCCCTCCAGAGCAGAGCATCTCCAAGGCGAGCTGCAGGAGACCGCTGCAATGCACAGGGCTTGTAATCTGTGTGCATGGACCGTTTAACACAGCAGAGTTGCCAAACAGAAATAAAACACTTATTTTTCTCTTCATGCAGATAGAGGAAAGCAGCCTGGACTCTGCTTTAGCAGTTAATAGGGTTTAGTGGTTAATTGGTTTTGGCAGTCTCAAACACAAAATCCGTGTTTCATGATTAAGACTACTGTGCTAAGTAACAACGTTAGAAAGATGAAGCCTTGCAACACAATAATTTTAGTCTTTTACTCAATACAGGCTGTTGCTTTATGGCTAAATATACACTATAATAAGACAGTGAATTTTCTGGTAACATAGTAAAGGAAATAATCAACCCTCAGCTTAACTGCAGGATGAAACCTCTTAGGGTGTAACGTGGATGTTCCACTGTAGCTTCAGTTCAGACCTTTTGTTTTAATCTTCTCTCTCCTCTCAATAAACCCACCAAATCCATGACAAATAAAAGCAACATGGCTCGCTATTATATGGTAACTGAGGCAGAGGGTGCCTAAATGTTTTTTAACTCTGATGGCAGGCTAAGTTCACACAGAGAGTTTGCTCACCCCCAGGTAATTCCTCTTTACCACCCCTCAGTTCCCCCAGCGTCTCCTCTTCCCCCCATCCCGCTCATCACTTCCTTTTGGGAAGCCCAAAACTCCGACCCCTCTTTGGACAGACTAAACAACATCTGCAAAGTCGCCTCGCTCCCTTCCAGCCCTCCCAGGGGAAAAGAGCCGGTCCCAGATGGACAGGAGAAAGCCAGTGTCACCGGGGAGGGCGAGCAGGGCTCCTGGGGGGTGCCGGGGAGCAGGGATGTGGCGGAAGCATAAAGCACCTGTTGGGAGGCTATTTAGGGATTAGCCAAGTGCTGACAGACAAATTGGCAAGATTAATAAGAGCAATCAAGGCTGTGTGGGCTCGAGTTGTGAGCTGACATTAATGTGACATCACTTTCATCTGCTTTTGCCTCACACCGCATAGCTGGTCTGCAGCATCATTAGTGCTTCTAGGGAGCAGCACGGTCAGATGCGGGGTTACAGGAGGGAGGGAGCTATGAGTACGGGTACATGTGTGTGCACACACGTGTGTGTGTGTCAGGGCAGGGGACAGCCCGTTGTGCCTGTCCTTTAGCCGGTCCCCGCATAGGGGCTGTCCATAGTGACCGGCACTAGACCTCTCTCCACTACAGGGCAGGTATCAACAAGGGGATGGGTGTTTGGGGGACCCTGGGACCTCCCAGCCTCAGCACTTCCACAGGGCCTACCTGGCCCTAACAGCAAGGAATTATTTTGGTGATGTTCTCTCTAAAACTGTCTGCTTCTATTGAGTTTTGTTTTT